TTATCATTAATTATTATAAAACAAATGAAAACATTCGACGAGAAACGACACCATAATCTTAAGACGGAGTTTTCAAATCTAATCATATTAAATCAGAATATTTTGGAGTTTTGATTTAAATATTAAAACTGTTCCGGCCGGCCCAATTAGCTAGCCCAGTTAAGATGACTCACTATAAAGGGGACCAAGCCACCTCAGCCTGACAACCTCTGTTGCATCAGCGTTGCTGTCACCTGTGCTGCTACAATAGATCCCAACGTAAGACACCAAAATGGCTTATGTTGGGAGGTTTCCCATCCTTTTTGCCTCCCCAGACACTAGGAATACACTTTTAGGGATTCTGCTCCCTCTCCCCCAACTTTCTCCCTGCACAGCGACTGCTGCATACATTACAATAGCTGCAAAGTGCCTTGCCCATGCAAAGCCAGACTACATTGGTTCTTCCCCATAATAGTTGACTTCCTTCTCTCCCTCTCCTTGGTGAGACCTATAAATATCCCCTCAGTCTTCATTATGAGGGCAGACTACATTATTTATTGTGTAAGTCGTTGTTACCTTATTAACTTGGAGAGCCATTGTAGCCACCTCGACACCATCCCCCATTATTTCACACCACACCTAGGACCCCTTGATCAATATTAGTGCATACTATTGCTGTTCGAAGCACCCCTAAATAGATCATCACATCCCTTGGGGTTACATATGTGGCTCTCATACCACACTAACGGTTCAAAAACCTTTTTCGAGCTACTGTTTATAAAAGTTGAATTATTTTAGGTGGGTGATTAAGACCAAAAGTAATAAAATATTTTTAGTCATGCTCTTAGTTAACTTTTATATGCTTATTAATAATCACAAATCGGTTGGCCCAGTCACCATATAACCATGATTAATATCGACCAAAGTCTGATTATTGTTCAATTTATCATTTTATGCATACTTAAATACTTAATAAATTTATTTTTAATTGATTCATAAATACATTATGGTACAAGTGATTTTTTGCAGCCAACTTTGCCTTAATACGGCTTCATATCATGTCAATCAATTTGTAACTGAAAAAGAAAATATGTTTATATATTGGCTTTTTGACCATTGTGTCCTTAATTACATAACAAAATACCACTTTGCCCTCGTATCAAAAAAATTCATCTATCTTCCCTTGTTTGGCTGTTGACCACACAATTTACTCGAGTACATTACCTATATAATCGAGTATATTGTATGGAATAGCAAGTACTCGAGTACAATACATTTATACTCGAGTATTGTTCGTCATCTGGGTCTTTTTGGACATTTACTCGAGTATAGGATCCAGATACACGAGTATTTGCTGTTCTGCGCAATATACTGGAGTTCATGGGTCATGAACTCGAGTAAATGAGACCGAATTTCCTACGAATATTTTCAACGCGTAGCTCTCAAAAAGTTATGTGAAATAAAAAAAGTATCTAATTCGGACACCGAGTCAAAAGTTATGACCTTTCGAAATTTTACTCTGAAATTTTCAAAATTTTGCAATGCCAATAGATTTTGTGATCCCACAAAGCTCTTCCTCAGGTTATCCGATTCAAATCCAATATTATAAGTACATGACTATAGAAACTTGTTTGATCCAAAAAATCTCTTGTAAAAAATTTAACTGTAAAACTTCGAAAGACCATATTTTTTGGATCAAACAAGTTTTGTGGGTATCACAAAATCTATTGGCATTACAAAATTTTAAAAATTTGAGAGTAAAATTTTGGAATGCCAAAACTTTTAACTCGGGTATTCGAATCAGTTGCTTTTTTGTGCCAAAAATTTGCCATTTGGTCCAAAAAATGCTTCTTTATGACTCGTTTGGCATATTTTATCTTTGTGAAATGATATTATTAAAGTTTTTACTTTCAAACACTAACAAATAATCCCCTGGAAATTTTCCAACGCGTAGCACTCGAAAAATTATGTGAAATAAAAAAAAACACCTGAGTAAAAACATATGGTCTTTCGAAGTTTTATAGTTAAATTGTTTTTACGAAATTTTTTTGACCAAACAAATTTCTATTGTCATATACTCAGAGCAGGGTGGAATGAAATGGCGCAGTGCATCTACTTTTTTGTGTGATCGCAAAATCCCCCTGAAGTTAAAAGGAAAATTCTATAAAACGGCAGTAAGACCGGCAATGCTATATGGAGCGGAATGCTGGCCAGCACATAGGCAACATGAGCATAAGATGAGAGTAGCAGAGATGAGGATGTTAAGGTGGATGTGTGGTTACACAAGGATGGATAAGATAAGAAATGAAGATATTCGACGAAAGGTCGGAGTAGTACCGGTAACCGAGAAGATGAAAGAACATAGATTGAGGTGGTTTGGGCACGTGATGAGAAGGCCTATGGATGCTCCTGTAAGAATAGAAGTTTGTTACCAAGAGCTAAACACAAAAAGAGGCAGAGGTAGGCCAAAGCTTACTTGGGGGAAGGTAGTAAAACAAGATTTAATGGAGTGGGATATAGATTGGCGGACAGTATGTCTTAGAACGGAATGGAGAAAAACTATAAGTATGGTGGAGGGTTAGACCCGCTGTTATTCCTATGTTCCAGATGGTCTCTTTTTAGTCCTTTTCCCCTTCATTTCCCCCACTTCTTCTTGTCCCTTTCTTTTTTACTTTTATTTATTTATATATTCATATATTTTTATTTTATTTTATTTTATTTTATTTTATCTTATTTTATTTTATTTATTTATTTACTTTTTTACTTTTTTTCAACCGTTTTGTATCTTTCATGTGGGTTCATCTACCACCGACCCCAATTAATTTGGGATAAAGATGTTGTTGATGTTGATGTTGTTGAAATTTCTATAGCCATATACACATAATATTGGACTTGACTTGAGCAACCTGAAGAGAAGTTTTGTGGGTATCACAAAACTTATTGACATTACAAAATTTTGGAAATTTTAGAGTAAAACTTAGGTAAGCCATAACTTTTAACTCAAGTGTTCGAATCAGATGCTTTTTTTATTCCACATAACTTTTCTAGAGCTATGTGTTGAAAAATCCCCGTAGCAAATTTGGTCTCATTTACTTGAGTACATGACTCATATACTCGAGTATATTGCGTGGAACACCAAATACTCGAGTATCTGGGTCCTATACTCGAGTAAATTTTCAAAAAAATCCCATATGACGAACAATACTCGAGTATTTGCTGTTCCACGCAATATACTCGAGTACCTGGGTCATGTACTCGAGTATATTACGCGGTCAACGGTTAAATAGGTGAAATATTTTGATACGAAGGAAAAATGATATTTTTTTTATGTAATTACAGGCACAATGGTCAAAAGGCCCATTTATGAGTCATTTCAAATTTTAAATATAAATAAAAATTAAAAAAATGTTAAATTAACATAGGATAGTGCTCTCTTAATTTGGAACTTTGAGAGTCTATTGAATCGTAGTTTTCATTTCATATTTGTTGAAACTCTTAAGAACCAACATAGATATCAGATAAAGGATAATACTTCATCCTAAATTCCAAATGCAGAGTAACTCGTCTAAAATCTATGTTGCACATTTTTGTATTTTATTTTAGGGTTCAATGAATGTTCTTCTAAAGGACATAAATTTGTGTCTTTTTAAGTTATAACACTATGTCTTACTAGTAAGAAATAGTTATAATATGAATAATTACTCTTTTTGTCTCTCCACATAAATTGACATGACTGAGGAGAGAGGAAAAAAATTCATATTATATTTATGTCTTACTGATAAGACAAGACAGTGTTAAACACTAAAAAGATACGACTTGTGTTGTTTAAAACCACAAACCTTTTTCATTTATTTTATTGGTATAGTGGTATTTGAAGATTGGAATTAATTGTTGGGAAATCTATAATACGATAACGTTAGAAGCTTTTATAAGCCACATAATATTTTCGTGGATAGTGCTGTCAGAAAGGTTATATCTTGTATCTTAGATAACGTGAAATCTGTGGATTAATGATGTTTATGGAGGAGACAAGGATAAATGCTGACACAAACAATAAGCAATAAAAAGAAGGTGATACATGCACGGTAACATTTAAAAAGACTATGATTTGAAACAGATTTATTCCTTTATATAGAAAATAATATAAATTATTAAAAAGGTTATTACCCAACACCTTAAGATTTTGGGTTAAGTAGTTCTTAACATGATATCAGAGCTTCAGTGACCACAAGATCACGAGTTCGATCATCACCGCCCTCAATTTTCAAGTGGAATTAAAGAAAAAGCATAAAAAAGGGAGCGTTTGGTAGAGAAGAATTTTTTTTTTTTGTCCGAGAATCTCGATTTTCAAAAATATGATTTTTATATTCAGTTTACGATAATATCTAAAAATTTAAAATTTAAAAAAATTCAGTTTCCCGAGAATCCGGCCAAAATCCTTGTACCAAACGCGTCCATAGATAAACAAAAAATTGGGCCTGTGAGAGGGTGTGTGCTTCAAGTCCAAAGGGCTCTAGTGTAAGAGAGTGTGTTAGTGAAGAATATAAATCATTAAAAAGACCCTCATCCCGACGCCTTAAAATTTTGAGTTGTATTTATTAAAGAGTTTATCTGACCATGGATAAACCGGATTCTCCAAAAAAATTACATAAGCGCCGGACCATGGAGGGACTGGTCTTCCAAAAAGTGTAGTATTTTATCTGCTAATATATTAGGTAGTTGATTGGTCCTATTATTAGCCGAAGTCTAGCTTCAACAAATTTTATAATACCATTTGCTCGAGTAAAACGTTTAAGGGAAAAGTTCTTGTAGTTTCTAAATTCTAATGTTGTCATCTGACTGCAATTGATTAATTGTGCATCTAATCTTTTTTCCTTCGCTCCCCCCCTCTCGAAAAAATGACATATATTCTTCCTGCAAACAATTCTGAAACGCTAAAATCAGCCAAGCTGATCAACGATTCAATGAAGTAAATAACCATCTTGAATTCCAAACAACAAAAGCGTACAATTGTTGGTTCCCATACATACGCAATGGCTCTTAAAAAATTGTGTTCGTATGAGGAAAACAAAATGCTCGCTCCATTTTATTGAACCTGTTTGAACAAATTCTCATAAAAACATTTGGGGGTATTCTCTTATTAAATAACCCTTTCTTCTCATTTACTCTCTTCTTTTGCCTGGCTTCTCTATGTCCCTCCAATGCTTTCTTCTTTTTTTTTTTTTTTTCCATTTTGAATTGGAAGGCCTTCCCTTCATATATTGCATAATTAATCGATGGTTGGCATATCAACATTTAGGAAGATCTTTCGGTGGTGGTATCAGTGATTGCTTAGGACCTTTACCATTATCCACCAAAAATGCCATCTTTAGCCCCCATGTTGTATGCACCTCCAAATGGCAATGCAAGAACCAAACTCCTGTCAAATACAAGGAATTAAAATAAAATTATGAAGAGATTGATAAAAGATCCAATAGGCATAGGAAATATTTAAGTACTATGATGAATTTGGTGCTCCCTTAAAACAGACAGTGAAAAATTCGTAAGTTTTATATTAAAAATTATGTGAAAAACTCATTCCTAAATTTTTATTGCCAATTTTTAAGAGTATACTAAGCTTGATGCATATGTTTTATATAAAGGGAAAATTCCGTTGTATAAGATTCCCTGACTTGTGAGGATACTAACTCGTGACCTTCCAATCATAAGGAGCCACCTTACTACTGACTTAAAGCTCGCCTCTACTGGTATAATGTATTTAGGACTAAGAATTTTTACCTGGATTATCTGCTCTGAATCTAATTGCAGTCCACCCTCCAGCTGGTACTCCAAGTGTGTTCCTTTCAACAGGATCAACAAGGTTAAATTTCTTTGGATCAGTTTTGGGATTGTAATTTCCTAGTCCTCTACCAACAATAAAGAAATTGAACCCATGAAGATGAATAGGATGGTTCTCAGGTGCAATGATCCCGGTATCTTGCATAACAAGCTGAACTGTGGCATTAAATGGTAGCCTATAAAGCTTTGTGCCACTTGTGGTGTTCAAATTTGCTGGTCCAGCACCTGAGTAGTTGAACACATGGGGTGGTTTTGCTGGGAAATCTGTGGTGAAAACCCCATTGATGTTGAAATAATGTGCTTGAAGTAAGGCAGTGGTTGGCATAACAAACGTCACATTATTGACAGCACCCACCACCCTACTCCCATTTGCAGCTTTGCAAGATGGACATGGGTTAATCCCCAAACCCACAGTGAAGAAAAGTGAATGATCAACTGTTAGTGGGACATTGACAGGGTATTTTTGTGAATTAAGGCCTTTAAGAGAGTTGACAAAGTTGTTAGCAACTTGGGTAGCATTTTGTGGAGGTGGGGTGGTGAGAATTGTAGGGGTATTAGCAAGAGTGCCAGTGTAATGCAATGTAGCTGTAGCAGTCAAATTGTCCACAGCCACTGGTGCATCCATGAAAGGTGAAGCTGCTACCAAGTACTTTCCAGATTTTTGGTCAGCAGTTAAAAGTACATCAGTGGTTTGGCCAGGAGCTATCAAAATTGTTTCAATCTTGAATGGCTTTACATATGTGGCATCAACTTCTACCACAGTAAGCTTGTGGCCAGCAATCTTGAAGAATAGCTCCTCATTGAGCGCAGCATTGATAATTCTCAGCAAGTAGGTCTTGCCACTCTCCACAGGCAGATTGTAAACTTCTACATATATTCCCAAAAATAATAAAGAAAGGGAAGAAGCTTAGTTTGAAATTAATGAAAATATTTCATGCCATAGTTTAGATAATGGTTGAACAGCAAAAGATACCGTGTGTAGAAGAACAATTGGACACTGTCCCTGGAAGGCCATTGATGGTATGAGCATCTGAGACATTTGGTGCTAATCCTGATTTTAGAGCTTCATTGATAATAGCCTCAGTGTCAGATTTCCACCATTCTCCTACAATTTACCACCAAAGTGAATTTTAATTTAAGTTCTAATTAATGCTATTGAAAGACCAAGTAACTTAAAAGGGAATAGAAAAATCTGAAGGGTATAATTATTTTAGCTCACCTAATACCAAAACCAATTCATCATCTGGCTTTGGGAAAGGATAAGGCACACCTCGCTTTGGCAAGATAACTAAGGCACCATGCACAGTTGACCTTAGCCAGTTAACATGTGCATGCCAAAGAAGTGTTCCTCTTTGCCCTGTAATGGTGAAGTTGTACACATAGGTATGGCCTGGCTGAATTGGGCACTGTGTGATGTATGCAGGCCCATCAGCCCAACCGGTTCGCAATTGCCTCACACCATGCCTGCCAAAGTAGTAATCACTCTAATTATTGTATTGAATTTCAATTAGTGTTATAAAATTCGAATCAGTCATTAACTCGGTTGTAATACTGGGATACTTAGTTATTAAGTTATTAGTTCAACCAATAAGTTATTAGTTCTCCTTTTTGAATTGAATTTATACAATAGAATATTAAAATATAGGGTTTAAGTTTTCTTATGTTGTAGGATTGTATGAGAGAAAAAAAAGTAAAGAGGAGTTAAATGTGGGTTCCATAATTTATATTAAAAAAGAAAAAAAAAATTTAATTGGCACGAAAAATGAATTTGTGTAGAAAAATGATTTACTCTCATGTAGCATGAGAGTATTATTTCCCAAAAATATAATAATAAAAACATTATAATAAGCATATGGCTGTGACTGGTGATTAATGTTCCATACCAATATACTTGCATAATCGATTAGATGACTCGAACGGACAAGTTGATGGTCAGTGATCCAATTTTTTTTTTTTTTTGCAAAGACCAGTGATCCAATTTTCGATTCAACCAACCAGACCGACCAGTCCGGTCTAGTTTTTATAACACTGATATGAATATTGTGTAATTAGATGAAAACATTTTTTACAATAAGGTCCATTGCTTATTTTTTGTGCAATATTTTCTGTAACGTGAAGCAAATAAAAAGAAATATTTGACATCTCACCAGTGGATGGTAACATTGTGGTTGACTTGGTTGACGACTTTGACCAGCACTGTATCATCTTCCCTGGCGTAAAGAGTGGGTCCTGGGAACTTCCCATTAATGGTGACAATGGGTTTGCTAGAACATAATCTGGTGGTATTCTTCGTCACCACCTGCACCCATTACCAAAATTAGCTCACCCTCTTAGGAATCTTTTATAATGCACGCTTGTGGTTGGAAAGAATAGACTGATTAACCATTTTTTGGTGCTGATTAGGAGGTATACCTTCCATGTAACTAGAATTCTAAAGATACTCGTTATATTCAGTTTTGAAACAGAATCAAAGCTTCAAAATTAATAATTGTGATTACTCTACTTGCGCATAACAAAATAAAGATAAGAGCTTATGTTACCATAATCTTTCAGAAATAATAATATTGATGTTGCCATTGATCTTAGGTTATGATATATGTTCTTATAAATTACTCTAAAAAAAGAACTTGTTAATTCTCTTTTAATTAGTTGGACTTTTGGTACCATGATTTGGTATTGGCGAAGTCTTTGATTCGAAAGTCCAGAATAGCCTAATTGCGCCAAGGACATTCTTATATTATTTTTAGGGGATTACAGTTTTTTTTTTTAAAAAAAAAATAAACAAAAATAAATATGACCTGTTTAATTATGTTCTGTTTTTTATTCTTCTTAAAATTATTTTATAGAGTAGTTAATAAAATAAGTATTTTCTGTGTTTTTTTTTAAAAAAAAATACAAGACAGAAACAATTGAAATATAATCTATAAATTTGATTCTAGAAACTAAAATGTAGATATAATTTTTAGAATTATTTTTACAAAACAAACTTTATCAAACAAGTTTTTTTATTTTTTTATTCTGAAAATTAAAGAATTATTTTTAAAAATAAAATTCAAACATACCCTATTACTTAAATAATATGGAGGAGTCACAAGTTCGCATTTAGCTTAAGAGGAATACCCTAAAAATGTATTTAACATAAAAAGCAATACAAGCACAATTTCACCAATGTATTTAACATAAAAATGGAATACCCTAAGCTGCTCTAGAAGTTGTCATATCATTATTTTAATTTCAATGGAAAAATGATCTCAACCTCTACAAAATCTAGACCTATCTTTTTTAGAACTTGACAGAAAATTACTTGATGAAAGCTTAAGCTTCCACTCTCATAAAAAGAGAGATCCTTAGGTGCTTCTAAAACAAGAATTTTTTCTGGATCATTAAATATGTATCATATTAACTATAACATTTAAAATGTAGTTCAAGTAAAGTAAGAGATAGTAATGGGCCACATCTAAAATGCATGAAGCAATGCACCCCACAAAAGGCCAAGAAAGAATGGTTCACTTACATGGAATTTGTAGTGCCTCACTCTGCACTCTACCAAAGCCGGAAAAATGCAAGCAATCAGAAGTAGAACTCGAACCCAAGAATCCATTTCACTCACTCACTTTCTTTTAGCACCTATCTTTTTTTTATCGTACAACTTATGTATTTATGTTGCATTCATAAATGACTGGCCAACGCACGCTTTTATAGGCTGAAACAGGCATTGCTACCACGTCGTTTTAACTTGGTTAGGTGAGTGATGGAGGCATTCTTGGAAATTAAGCCTAAGTAGGGGGAGAAAAGGACAAATTAAACCAGGTTATCTCATTATATCTTGCATGTCACATAAAGTCGTACATAATGGGAATAGGTGTATTTTGGAATTGAAGTTATTAACCTCCTTAATTAGACACATTTGTTTGATAATCACTACTTTGAGATAAGCTTACTGGCTGTGTTCTGCCTTTTAAATATTTCTCTATACCCCACTAAGTAAGTTTAACATAGAAAGTTAACCACGTGGTCTAGTTTCAAAAATTAAGGTTTTTGGTCATTCATTAGATTTTTTTTTACTTTTTATTGTTATTATTTGTAAAAAACAATTTCAACACAAAAGTCTAAGCTTATAAGTGAAAGCTTATTAATAATTTTTATATTATATATCTCTAACATATTTCTTCGTACAAGAGCCACACACCCATTTTTTTATATATTCTATTTTATGCTGACTTAATTTCACTAGAAAGTAGAGACGGTGAAGATCAAACTTGTGATCCCAAAATCATCGATCAAATAAAATAATCATTTCAACCCAAAAATTTACGCTTGCAAGTAATAGACCTTTAAAGATTTTTATATTATATCTCGCTAACATTGTTCTTCTCCTTTTTAAATCACTATTTCTGTTTTAGAGAAACTGAGATTTCGTATCTCTGAATTAGGTATGAAAAGCAATCAGTGGTTAATTAATGTGCCAAATTCGTTAAAAAAAGACATAATCTCAATCTTTAGATCATTTAATGGTAAGGATAGATGTTTATAATTATAGTGATAGGAAAAATATAAATTTTCAGTCAAATATATATGTAGAATAATGGTAAAGGGTAAGTAACTAGAAGCTGCTTATTGCTTAGCTCACAAAACAAAATATGGTTGAGAAATGGCTTTCAGTTTCAGGTCATTTATCAGGTAGCAAACCATAGAGGTTGTGTACATCATGGTTGGTTTGAAAGCCAATATTAAACCAACGTTGGGTAAGTAACATCTCTGTCACGTTCCTGTCTCTTCTCTGTTCCATCTGCTTCTTTATATATATATATATATATATATATATATACGAGGTAGGATCCTTTGACACCGATGTCAAATTTTAATTTTAACACCTCATCCGAGAGCCGTTAGATAAAAAAAGATCAATGGTGTCACATGCTTGCAAATCAGAGTCGTTGATCTTTTTTGATCTAACGGCTCTCAGATGAAGTGTCAAAATTGAAATTTCACACCGGTGTCAAAGGATCCTACCTCTACACCTCATCCGAGAGCCGTTAGATAAAAAAAGATCAATGGTGTCACATGCTTGCAAATCAGAGTCGTTGATCTTTTTTGATCTAACGGCTCTCAGATGAAGTGTCAAAATTGAAATTTCACACCGGTGTCAAAGGATCCTACCTATATATATATATATATATATATATATATATATATATATATATATATATATATGAGGCAGGATCATTTGACACCGGTGTCAAATTTAAAGTTTGACACCTGACCTGAGAGCCGTTAGATCAAAAAATATCAATGGTGTCACATGCTTACGAATCAGAGTCGTTGATATTTTTTGATCTAACGGCTCTCAGATGAGGTGTCAAACTTTAGGATCCTGCCTCTATATATATATATATATATATATATATATATATATATATATATATATATATATATATCTCTCTCTCTCTTTGGTTAGGTAACGGACTAACACATAAATGACTAGTTAAAACCATAAAATGCGAAATATTGATGAAACAAAACAATTATAATCTTTAGGTTTAGTGGTCTACAGTCAACCTAGTAAGAAATGAGCCTACATCGTGCAATTTGTTGATGATGATTGATGGCACGACGGTGGTACTTTTTTTTTAATCTTACCAATCTGAGATAGATTGAGGTTAAAGTATAAACCAACAACTGGAGAAAGACATCTATAACAAAATTGAGTTCTTACCAATTTACAACTAAATAACTAGGGTGATATGTTGCAACTGCATAATCATATTTTCTAGAATGAATACAGTTCAATGAATGATATTGTAACAGTTTATTACCTGACACCTTATTTTGTTTTTGTTTTTGGAAGGAATGAGGGGGTGAAAGAGGCAAATTGCAACACTTCAACATTTTATCTTCTGTCATATTTTTTATTTTAACTTCGGAGAGCCCCTAACGATCAATTGTCTATTCTATTTTAATCTATCCTATGATATTGGATCATTTGCACTCGACTGGATGAAAAGGGAAAGAAATGGAAATACAGGATTAGAAAGATGTTTCTAATTTATTTAACAGCTTGATGTTTGTGATTTAAAATGACATAAGTTATGTCATTTTAGGAGAAAGATAGACACAAGAAATAAAAATCATGGGAGAGAAAGTGGGTGAATTTTTTTTTAATTTAAATTTTAAATAAAAAAATATTATCTTATGTCTATCTCTCTTAAAATGACATAATTTTATGTCATTTAAAATAACAAACACTCCTTCCTTTATTTAAATGCAGTTGCTACAATTTAAACTTAAATATTATCTAAAACTTTACTCTCCCCAATCTTCTTAAGTTCAAATGCTATTTTAATTTCAAAATTTTTTGCTTATATCATTGCTGCAATTTTATTTTCAGTTCTTGAATGTACTTATATATGATTAATAAGGTTTGATTTCCACACCAAAAGAAAATAAGGTTTGATTTTTAGACCATTTAGTTATAGAGATTCTAATATTATATCTTGAACCAATTCTCCTTGAAATTTAAGTTATTAGATAAAGACATATGAATGAATTTTTATATTATATTTTTAACATATTTACAAATATTGGGTAAAGGAATCTCCTTCGCTGAGTTATTTTTGAGGCATTAGCATTTCCTTTGAAGTCCATGCTATTGTGATTGAGAAACAAAAAAGCCTTCTCCTAGTGCTCTTCCTCACTTTTGATTGAAAAATTCGAACACAAACAGAAGATAATGATCTGTGTATTAATATGGATAAATATGTAAGCTGGAATAATGGGCTGCCAAGCCCAATCTCTTTCCTCTCTTCTTATAATATTCTTTCCTATGTGTAAAGATTGTTACACTCATCAGAGAAAATTATATTGACATCTCTTAAAGGTGGTGCTTATTTGTACTCAATATATTTCTTATTGGGAAAACGACTCGTATCACTTTATATAATTTTGAATTTTGAACAGAAAAAAAAAAAAAAAACTATATACGTATACGTAGGGATAAAAAAATTTAAAAGTATTGACCATTTGTAGAAAAAAGACTGTAATGATTCTGTGCAAAAATATGACACGGCTTTCATTTTAATTATTTTACAGGAGTTTCAGAAAATAATTGTTTTAACTTTGTGTTTATTGTTGAACAGCAGATCTTAAGCATTTCGCACTGTCATAATAATTAGCTAACTGTATGAATAGTTTAAATTTCAGAGTCAATAATGCTTTCACTATCTTAATAATCTTTTGTTAGAAGCATAATTTTATATAATGTTGTGATTATTGATTAATACTCTCCAAGGAAAAGACAGAACATAAGACAGATTTATCTGGCCAGCTCATCTATGTCCCGTCTCCTCTTACCCTTAGAAAATTTGATTTAATGATAAAACATAAAAGATTAATGTGTTGTCAAAAAAATTTAAACATAGGATGATAACATCAGGTACAGTTATAATCTCACTCGTATAAATTAGGTCTAATCACACATAATTGAGTTTGATTCAAATTAGAGAAGTTTGATACTACTACTTGCAAGTATTGGGACTCTTGGTATATTTGCAAGATGATATCCCAAATTGGGGATGATGAGCTTTAGACCTAATGATTTGACTTGAACGAAAGGGGATCAATATATACCAAGACATCTCATGATGGGCTACATGATTGAGGCTTAGATGAGAGCTTGTTAATGTCATTGCATCTGGCTGGATGAAGTAGGAAAAAATTTAACATGTTCCAGACCCACCATTTATTCAGTGGTCCCTTTTTTATAAATGGAAATTTCTCTTCCATTTCTACCCTTTTTTTTTTATTTTTCCCCCCTCCGTCCCTCTTTTTTTTCTATTTTTGGAAGGGACCACCATGGTCTCGCCCCACAAAAAATCTTCTCATGAAGTAGTGGTTAATTCTGAGCCAATGATTTAATCTGGTTAGATAATATGTATCCACATCCTATCCATTTCTTACTCAGCGGCTGTTTAAGAGGTTTTTATTTTATCTTCTCTTCTCATAGTAGAAGTTATGTCAAATAAATTTTTACAAAAGCTCTTATAATAAAAAGAGCATTTTTGTATAATGAAGAAAAAAATCAATAGTCAAAATTTCATAGGAGGAGTTTTTTTTTTTAAATTGTATCAGCTTTATTTAAAATGCATGTTTTTTTTAATAAATAATTTTTAAGCAATTTTCAAGCTAAAAATTTTATATAATCATCAAACAACTTGTAATTTTATTTTTGAAGCTCTTTTCTTAACTTTAACTTAAAAATATTTTTTAACTTAAAATGTCAAACAAGCTCTAATTAAGAATACTTTGACCTGGATCATCTCATGAGCTTTTCCTGAGTTGAATAAGTTTCTAATTTGGGCATGAATTATTGATCCATATATACTTAAAAAATAAATTGTACCAAATCTGTATCCGACCCAAGCTCTCAAAACATTGTTTAGGCAAGAGTATTTTGTGCTTAAAAAACATATTTATGTATGTAACATTATGAAATACAATAATTAAGAAATTGATTCTGGACATTCTATGTAACGTTCCCGTCTCGAGCCGGTTCAATTAGCATACATATGATACAAACAGAAACATGCATCAGCGGAAGACTTAACTTAATATCTTGCATTAGCTTAC